TTGCTATGACGATGATGATGGAAGCATTCAGAGCAGCAGTCGCATTTCTTCTGATCGTGCACAGGAGCACTCATAAAACAGCAGCATGTAGAACTTTGTAAGCAACATCAGCCTGGAGCAGAAGCTCTGAGCTCTTGCAGCAACGCCAAACACACTGGAGCAGTCAGCGCGCAGCCCCTCAAGACAGGGCTGTGGGTCCAGTGTTGGTCAGATTGTCCATCCTCCGTGTCCTGGTTCCAGACGGGGGCGAGCAAGAGCCCGCAAAGAACTGGGTCCGAGTGCTTCAGTGCAGTCATCTGTGCGCTGGTTCCGTGCGGGAAAAGCAAGAATGCGCTGTGAATCACAGGTCAGGGCGGGCTGCTCTGGTCCTCCGCGCTCGACCTGGTTCTGAGGGGGTGCAGCATCCGGACAGAAGCGTGAATCCCGTTTGGTTTGTTATACGTTGTTCTGAGCGGTCCGTCTGCGCACGTATTTTTTATTTAATTTTTTTTTCGGGGAAAGCGCTTCTCAGGTGGAGGCACCGGACACCACCCCCGCTTCAGTTCATCTGTTTGTTCTGCTGAAACATTTTTCATGTGTTTGCATTTGTACACAGCTGATGGATCAAATCCATGACCAGAGATGAACGAGGGTTTTACCCCTAAAAAAAACAGATTAAAACAACAACCAAAAATCATTCCTTTTCCATTTTTACTCATTTTTGAAAAAGCTCCAGGGAGCCACTAGGGGAGTGCTAAAGTGCATGCGGCTCCGGAAGCTGCGGGTTGCCGACCCCTGGTCTAGATTGTTCCACAGTATGACATTAAACTTATCTATTTATATGGAGACAAGTCCCAAATGCCTCCAGGCCAAGTTATAGGTCAGATCTGTGAGGAAGCAAGCTCACTTATTGTAGCAATGCATGCTTTTCGTAATATTTTTTGAGCAATAAAACTCCTGCAATTGAATAAATGCAGCATAGATGAGTTTAATGCCATATTGTGAAACCTTTCAGGCAAAGCAATAATATCTCAATGGAAATAGGTTTATGGCAGATCCCCTACCAGAAAAGTTACACAGAGCACCTTTAAACAAGACTTGTTCAAGACATTATACTTTTAATTCCCAATGAAACAATATCTTGTATTATATAAACTAAAGATGCACAATGTAACTCATTTACTGGATAGATTTTCTATAGACACACACTTGCATGCATGCAAAAAATGGTCCGAGAGGGGTTGCTCAAATTGCAAAAAAACAATTGACAACAATAACATGACTTTTTTACATATCTCTGTCCAGCATGTTTAAATCTTACAAAGGTCACTTGATTGTGGTCGATGTTAGACCTGCATGTTTTAATCAGGTTGAGGAAACATGACTTTATTCTAATCTCTGGTGAGGCTCCTCCCTCTGGAATTCTCCTCCCCAAAACATTTGGAGGGAAAATTCAAATGTAACAGGACACAGGACAGTTACAGGAGCAGAGGACACGCTCAGGACACAGGAGAGTTACAGGAGCAGAGGACACGCTCAGGACACAGGACAGTTACAGGAGCAGAGGACACGCTCAGGACACAGGAGAGTTACAGGAGCAGAGGACACACAGTGTGGAGCAGGAGGATTATTCGAGCTGATCTGGAGGTAAGACTTTTCAAAGATTTTATGTTTCTCTGGCCTAGAATGTCGTCATTGTTAAAATATGTTTGTGGTGTTTTATTTGAAATTAGAGTTAATGTAAGGACTCCATCAAACAAATTGTATTTGACTGTCCATCTACAAGAGTGTGACAGTTGTACTAAGATGTGAATGTGTTTGTTCCAGAGTCGTCTACAAACACAGAGTGACCTCCAGAGCTCTGCTGGAGCTGTGGGGAAGTTCATGAATGTTATAGCTGATGTTTCAGAAAAAAGGAAGATGTTTGAAAACCAACAAAACACAGACCACAGATGAACAAAGTAAGTAACTCAACTAAAATGATTTTAAATTAATTTTTCAAAATGTACTTCCTATTGAAACAGTGTGTTTCTACAGGGTGATGTGGCACTAGGAGACTTTATACCAGATGCCCTACCTGTTACTGTGTTTAGAGGAAGAAAAGCAGCACATGGTGAGTTTTGTTTCTGCAGATACAGTTCTAATGTTCTTGTTCTTCTGTTCTGGTCCATTATTGTAGTAATAAGTACTTTAAGTGTATTTAAACATGTACAACAGAGTAGATGATCAGAATGTGATCATCATGTGTTATTCTGTGTCCACAGAGACCAGAGCTTCTTCACTGGAATAAATCTTCACACTGTCCAGCTCCAAACTGTGTGTCTCTGTACTTGTGTGTCTCTGTGTGTTTGATTCTGTTTAAGACAAGACAGAACTGTGGAAAACTAAAGACTGTTTTTGTATTCTTTTACAGAATTAGATCAATTAAATTAAATTATACAAACTTATACATTTCATGATAAGGTAACATAAGATAAATTTGCATATTCAGCAGGATTTTATCAAATTTCATCAACATGAAAAAGTGACGTTCATGTTCGAGAAAAATATGTGTAGAGGGGATCGAAATAAGTTTCAAAGCCTAAAAATAATTTTATTGCATACAACCACTTTCCATAACTTTTTTACACAAATCCAGCGACCTTTTTTTTTCAGTGTGTTTGGGCAAAATATGAAGGGGGTAGATATAAAATGTACATGTTCTGACTGTGGCCAAATGGACTGAAATGTGGATTGTACAGTGAGTGGAGTGTGGACATACTTTATAGTTTGTCTGTTTTGTGAGCCCTGCCCTTTGGAAGAAGAGATGGCAATGAGCCCTTGGCTATAATCAGATCACTTTACATTCACGCTGTGTCATGTCTGTCCAGTAACATGCACTGTCACAATCAAATACATAAACACACAAATAAACAAACAAATAAATAAATAAATAGAGCAGGAGGGTCTGCTAATTTGCTTTTGTTCCACAGAGTGACATGAAATGAATCCAACTCGTGGAGATGACCAGAGGGTGACGAGAAAAAACAGGCCCAAGTTACACTTGTTTAAAATCACCTAAAATGTATTTAATAGACGATCGACATGTTTAATGCCATACTATGGAACTTTCCAGATTACAACATCTATAGAGACAGAGAAGTCAGTGACACATCCATGAGAAACGTTGCACAGTGCCCCTTTAATTCGTAGCCAGAAGTTTGAAAAAACTTTATTTTTGAATATTCAGCACATGTAATGTAACAGTGTATATACTGCACATACCTCCATAGTTCTACGCTGTAACAGTAATATTACAGTGCACTTATAATGACTTTGAGTTTGATATTACAGTTTACAGTGTATCTTGTACTTAATGAAGCATTTTATCAAGTACAATAAGACCATACTAATATAATATGCGTGTATACTTAACATGTGCCCATTAAACCATTATTCAATCTAAAGGCACTTGTGTGTCTGATAAATGGACATGTTACGCGTTGCCTCTTTAAGTCTAATGCATGTATGACTCATGTGGACAGCTCTTTACATTTTTCATACTCACTTAATATCTGAGAGAAACCAGCTAGAGGCCACTTCACCAGCTGCTCCCTGCACTCCGCCGTGTCTCTGGGGCTAAGGCCCTGGCCATTACAGAGCATGGGAGTATATGGGAGTGTACGGGAGTGCATGCGAGTGTATGGGAGTAGACTGAACATGGAGGGAGCAGAGTGCGCGCCCCTGGGCCTCTGTTTAGTGTACGGTGCTGTGCTGTGGTGGACTGTGGCGATCGATGCATTTGTTCAATAGATCATTAAGCAATCCCCCATAGCCCCGAATAACACGGATCAGGCAGCAGATAAGAGCACGCTCAATACTGGACCACAGCAACAGGAAGCACTGTGCACATGAGGTTTAACTGAAGGAATATATACTACTTTAAATCATTTATATCACACAGCTCATACTGTATCTATATATCTTTGGGGAGCACATGATGTGCAATGGTCGAGCTATTTACCAGTATTAATAATAGAGCAATGACAAAGAAGCAGTTCAATTGCTCCTTTGTCATTGCTCTATTATAAAAATAAAAAAATAAAAAAATTAAAATTAAAATTTAGTCTGTGTGGAATTATGGTTTAAAACACAACACTATCAAATCCGAGAGCTTTGTGACAGTTAAAAGTCTAGAGTGCACAGAAACATGTCTGTTTTGTTCTAGAGAAGGTCACACGCCTCAACCCAAATGCCAACTTATGCAGCGTTACATGTGCACAGTATAATACAGCACAATACAAATCCACCGGCTTCTCCAGACCACTCTTTATGTCAGTGCGAAAAATACACAGGTCTAATAACGGGATTGTCCATAAACACTGAGCAGAGCTGGAGTCCAGAGGCCAACATGACAAATGTGGGAGATTTTCATTTTGGGTCCAAACAGATTCAGTCATAGTCTCCTGGGCGAGTCCAAGTGTACGCACAGTGCTCCATACCTGCACTTGTTGATAATGTCCCTTATGCCAACAACACTCATGCCTGTACCACGTATCATTTCCCGTCCAGATTTTGTGCAACAAAATGTCTCCCTCCAGTCAAGACCAATACTCTGATATTTTACAAAACATTTGATCAGTTACATGAAACCAAAGGGTCTATTTTATTACAGGCTACACACCAAACAATTACAACAATCACTGATTATAGCTCTGCACTGATTCTGCTTTTTCAGTTCTAATACCAATGCTTTGGCTTTAAGTAGCTGCTGATTCCCAATATCAACTGATACCAGAGACTTCCTAAGAACAAAAAAAAATACTAATATTGTATGACAAAATATGTATTATACAAGTGTGTAACCACAGATCACATTTGTTTTGAAAGTTTGCACATTCTAAGACTTTCTGGACCAACTACCAACTTCTGGACAGTAAATGTTCATGGACTGGTGCCATCGTTCAATACAAGTATCAGTATCCTTCTGAGCCACAGTACTCAGAAAGAAAAAATGCCACAGTAGTACTTTTACTCCTCACCTTATATTCGTTCTCCCTGTTCTTCTGTCTACTCTTCCACCTGTCAATCAAAAACATGGACTGGTTAGGAACCATTGATTAAACAAAGAATACAGAGAACAAAAACTGCACACAGAAAACACAAAACACCAAGGTTATGAAAGAACTAGGTTTAACCCTCACGCTCTCAACGGGGTCACACTGACCCAAAGAACTTTTTTTTTCCTTCCCGCTCTCTTGGTAAATCAGAACCAAACATTTATTTTCCAATAAATTCTTGTCAGGCTAGAAAATACATTTTTGGGTCTGATTGACCCGCCCCAAGAGAGCGGGAAGGAAAAAAAAAATTTCTTTGAGTTAATGTGACCCCGAGGAGAGTGTGAGGGTTAAGCACAGTGGCACTGCAGTTAGAAGTGTGGAGTATGAATGTTCTCCCTGTGTCTGTAGGTTTCCTCTGGGATAGACTAAGTATCTGCCGATAATTGATATTCTTAAAACACAGTTAACGAGTCATGTTCTTCAACTCAAATTTTTCACTATTGGTGCTGATATTCGATACCAGTATCGGTATCAGTACATACATCGGTACATACTCCAGGTGCTGCCACTAAAACCATGTAGTGTATGGCCCGTCTGGACCCTGGAATATCCTGTACAGATTTTGTTATGAAATTAATCTCGATTGAAGGCCACTTTTTAATAAGACAAAATCAAATTAAATAGAAAAATGTGATCGATCAACATGAAAAAAAGTCATAGTGGCAGCCTTAATGAAGATAGGAGTTTAATGTTATACTGTGGAACATTAAAGGCAAAGCACCAACATATCCACAGAGACAAACAGGTGGCAGACCCTCCACCAGAAAAGTTCTTTCAAAATTCAATAAAACTCACGTAGTCACATTATTATAACTGGGAAAGAAAGCTCTGAAAAGTCTATGCTTTAATATGTGAGAAGTACGGAGTTCCCCAGTGCATGAGGAGGCTGGAGGTTGTGACCCTGTTTAATGGGGCAGGTGCAGACAGGGGCAGAAGGCTGAGGGCTGTTAGCGAGAGGTGTCACTGTGAAACCAATGGGATGGTGTGGCAGAGAGCAGAGCCACAGCTGGAGAGGAGGAACGGCCTCATCCTTCCACAGACTGGGTTTGGGAGGCGCTTATTGCCTTTTTAAAATGCACTAATACCAATCATCCTGTCTGCTTCACTCATTAACATCAGAGCGTACTTGATTTAAGCACATCATTCCATAGGCCTGCAGGCAAAAGCCACGCACTCGACACACACACAGCATTTATAGCACTGCGCACCACTCTATAAAGCAGTGTGTGAAAGGAGACTCAATGTGTGAAAATGTGACAGTTTTGCCATGAAGGGAGAAGAATGACAATTACAGCGACTCGAAGAAAGCTCAGCTAAGGCACACGTGGATTTTACAAGGTAAAAAGCACCTTACGCAACCTTTCTACCTTCTCGTCTCCATGGAGATGTCATTACCATGTCTGTACTGTTCCACATTAAACTTATCTCCACAGATAAGTGGGAGATGCCACCTAGCTACGTTACATGTCAGATCTTTTAAATGGTCACATTTTTATACCTTCCAGGCTCAGAGCACTTTACATCAAGAAACCACACCATCCACACACACTCACACACCCGTGTACACACAGACTAGGGGTGTCTTGCCCAAGAACACAACTACAGCATTCATCTGTAGGAGCTTCACTGCCAGAGATCTGAACCCTCAACCAATGATGTTTATGTCGAGAGTGGACAAACACTCTAGACCTACTGTCACCTACCCCCACCCACCTGTGCACGGATTCAGGGATTTTCAGACATCATAAGCACCAGCAACTGAGTAAAGTGAGTAAATGCAAAATAGATACGATTAATGCCATACTGTGGAACATGCCGAGCAAAGTAACATGACATCTTCTTCGGCAAATGCAAGAGAACTAGTCGTAATTCTCATACAGGTTTGGAAAATAGATTCAATTAGTATTAGTATTTCTTGTAGAGTATACACTACAATCTTTCAGTCACTTGTACTTTTGTGCAAACCTGAACCTCACTCAAAACATGCACACGCCTGTTGATCATATTTCCAATGGATTGAAAATATTTAATCACAAAACAACGACAGATTTATGTTTTGTGTGTTATTTCCCCATCCTCGCCTTAAACTATTTGTCTAAGAATTTAGTGTCAAAATGAACCACAGTTTCCACACCTGCCTCCCTCCTCCACATTCTAATGATCCCAAACACGACATGTAGTTTCTTAATAGCCCAATAAAGGTTATAATTACGTAGCATTAGCACTAGCACACGTAGGACGCCTCTCTGTAGTAAATACCACTGTGAGTGTGTGATGATGGCACAGATCCAGCCGTGAGGAGAAGAGACACTTTAAAGGGCACCACCTGCTGTGTATTGGAGCAGCTCCGAAAAAAAACCAAAAAAAAAACAGCTAAACATTGATTTAGTTTCATCCACACATCAAATTCCTTTACTATTGATTCTGGTCTTTATTATGAACCCAGCTGCTCCGCCACCAAGGTGCGCCGTACTGCTCAACAAACTATTTGGTATTTTGCCTACAATGTTCCACAGTATGGCATTAAAGGTCCTATATTATGTAAAATGGACTGAGCTTTAAGACATTTTAGAATGTTGTTACCACATCAAAAGCAGACCTGGAGTTGTGTTTTGTTTCATTCACATGTTAGAGGAATTCTTTATTATGAGTCTGTCTACATCTGCAAAGCTCAAAACGCTCAGTTTCACCCTGTGATGTCATGAGGTGGTAGTTTTCAAGTTAACTCCTTTTACTTTTTGTTCGATGAGCTGAAATGATCCAAATGATTCTTGTGAAGGTGTATGGAGTTGAAAAACACAGTGGAGCACTTCCTGTATTACCACATGACATCACAATGTGGAACAGAGTGTTTTCTCTTTGAGAGAAGAAGTAAATATGCAGAATGTGTGTGTTGAACATTTGTGAATGTAACAAACACAACACACATCAGGATACAACATAGATGAGAGAACAGTGTCATGTCATTGGTTTATTTTGATTGTGATAAACCTACACTGAAAAGTATCCACAGTCACCTGTGCACAGATCTGACGCTGCTGTCATCTCTATAGATACTGTGGAACATTCTAGACAAAGCAGTAATGTCTACATGGAGACAAGCAGGTGGTGAAACCTAGTGGCGGCTGGTGGTATAATTTCTATATATATATATATTATTAATATATGTATTATATATAGTATTTTAGCGAAACAGAAACAGACAGTCATTTTGGTCACTACTGGCTGAACTATCAGCACAACGCACAGCCAAGCGCAGTTTTACGCAAGTTTACCCAAGTTTACGTAGCAGCACAACCTGATCCACCGCTCGCTGCCAGACCCAACAACACAAGGTAACACGGCGCTCACACCCATTCCCAACAACGTCAGCAAAATCACAATAAGATAAGAGGCTCTGGTCACAACATGAACACACGGCATCAGCGCCGCTGCTACAGCACACAACAGAACAACTGGAGCAGCTCCACCGCACACACCAGCTCATTTACGCACTATTTAACTATTAACACTATTTACCTGTGAGTTACACCCTTATCATCAGAAGGCCCCCTAGTCAGAAAGCCCACAAGTCAGAAGGCCCTGTAGTGAGAAGGCCCACTAGTCAGAAAATCATTCCCTCTTCTATTGGTTTGTCAGCAACATTTCTCTTGAACAATTGAATGTATATTTGATGAAAGCAACAGGGGATAATCCCTGGATATCAGGGAAGAATTAGTAAACTTTTGGATGTTTACCAATTAAAAATGGCTGCAACATCAACATTTTTAGAGATATTGACAGGAAAATGCATAATCATGCATAACAGCATTAGCTAAGGCCAGCATTACTTAATTTGTTGGTTTACAAACCAACCAATGCTATATTAAAAGAAAAAGATTTAAAATAAAATTGAAATGAAGGTTGTAGAGCTCAAATTACTGAACATTTTGCAAGCTGTTGCCTGAACCCTGTTACACTTAAGACAGCCATTTCCACCCAAATCATTATTTCCTCAAACATTTTTGCTGTATTTTAAGGGTTTAATATATTTATTAATTTTAATATTTACTTTTTTAAATATTTAAAACTTGAAATACAATTTCATTGTATTATTTGGTTGTCTCCAAAAATGTATTGTCCACTACAACGATAAAACTGGTCCAAATCCCGGTCCAGTCAGGTCCATAACGTGAGGTCCGGGAGCTGAATGCACGAACTGATTGTAAAATTGTCTTAAACTCTCTTTCCACTTAAATCTGACAGTCACACCAGTCCATATCAACACCAGGACACCAGGTGGACTTAAGCGCTACGCTAGATGAGACTTTTACAACGAGAAACAAGCGGGCAAAGGCGGATAGAGCAGCGAGCGACTGTCCCGGCTCCAGCAGAGAGTGGGCCCTGGTCCCAGCGGTGGGTCTCTCCTCGCGCTTTACTGTGAACAAGTTTAAGCTAAAGTCACTCGCCACTATTAGCCAGTGTACGAGTCAGAATAAGAGCCTTAGTATCTCAACAGAAGCACTCATTTGAGTTTAATGCTTCTTTTCTTGCTCTTACTCCCTAAAACTGTTCCTGGGACGTACTTGTAGGAACTCTCCATAAGTGTACAGCACACAGCTCTGTTGATGTCATCATTAGCGCCTGTAGCAGGAACATGTGTCAGTGCAGAGTCGGGGCTGAGTGACAGAGCAGCTGAACCACAACAGGTCAACATGTGTGTTCATGTTTCATCAGAACAATCAGTTGATTTCAGGGCGCTCCCACCCTGCGCCCAAACACGGATTCTAGAGCTAATGTAAAGTAATGGGCAAAAGCAACATCATGACGTCAAATTTTCTCAAAACTCTTATAGAAACTCCATTAGGTCTGATCTGAAGGTTGGTGGTTTGATTCCAGCTCTCGACATAAAACATCACAGGTTGAGTGGTCAGATCCACTGACCCACAGGTTGGCTGGTGTGATACCAGCTCCCACAGATGA